TGGTTGGGGAAATTCATTAAGGTGGATGCTGCCACAACTTTGCTAGCGAAAAAGAAATTTGCTAGAATTTGTGTAGAACTGATTTAGGTAATCACTTGCAAGCTGAATACAAAATTGAGGGGAAACTAAAGAATGTGGTGTATGAGGGGTTGCATCTAGTATGTTTAGTTGTGGGAGATATGGGCATCGATATGAAAATTGTCCCATAAGAGCTACCCAAATTGTTGTTCATCTGGGAGGGCCACCTAAGTTGCATGAAGGAGTGGTGGATCAAAAGCAGGAGTCAGAGAATCAACCAAATAAGGAAGAGTAAAGGTAGGGCCCGTGGATGCTAGTAAACAAGAATAAAAGTTTTAAAAAGCCTAGTTCAAAAGGAAAAACTCCTCTGGCTTCCAGCAAAGTAGAAGAAAGTAACAAGTCAAGGTTTGAGGTCTTAAGGCATGAGAATGAGCTAGAGGATGGAACTAAGAAAATCGAGGGGGACAATCATGATCATCATCAGGTTGAATTGGTAGAGAAAGCAGAGCATAGGAAAAATAGGAGAAGTAAGTCCCCTATTCGAATAATTGAAACATAAAGTGTTTTTTTCAGTAGATGGTGAATATGAAGAATATATCGGTGGTAAAGAAGAAAATAGCTCGAATCTTAAAAATAAGAGACCTGGTAATTCTACCAAGAATCATGTAGCTAGTTTGGAGACCAACCATATGTTAGTGGATGAGCATCCTTTACTGGAGAATGTTAATGAGTTGTTGAATCAAAACTCTGATACAAGAAAAAAAAAAGAGGTCCCTTCAATCCAAAATGACCCCTCATATCTAGTTATGACCCATCACACTCATAAGGGCCAGCAGAGGTTGAAGCAGTTAATCCACCTGGCTCATAGGCCCCCTGACATCACATCAGACAGGAGGAAGAAATCAGCCAACCATGGAGATTGCAATGCTCTCGTTCAGCCAAACCCGTCTATTGGGTCGGAGGATAGGGAGAAACATGTATGCTCGAAACTTGCCTTTTCTTATTCTGGTTTTGAATGTCTTGTCTCTTTTGGAATGTGAGGGGAGCTGCCAAAAGGGATGAATGGCATGCATGCTCTCAAGCTATTGATTGGTAAACACCATATTTGTTTGGCCATTCTATTGGAACCAAGAATACAGAGTACAAACTATCAGAAGCTCACGAAAGTTATTGGCATTGTTGGATTTTAGGCAGAGGAAGCTCAAGGTTTTTTAAGAGGAATTTGGGTGATTTGGTAGTCTAAATCTTTACAAGTAGAGATTTTGTCCCAATCTAATGGATGAGGTAAATATGCTAAGTGTTGAAAGGGCTAACTTGATGATTAAGTAATCAACGAATAATAACTTGGACTACGAGTGGATCAAAATATGATAATTGTTATTCAATGTAAGTGCCCCCTTGTTTGATGGGAAATGGGTGGCCATTATATGTCCATTAGGTACAAGATTAAAATTAATGACATTAGTTGGAAATGCACAACGTTGCTGCCCAAATTTTCTGTAAGGCTTAGGATTTATCTCCATCTTTAGAAAATCATAACTCACTCAATTATTGGTCAAATGAGGCATGTGAATTACCAAAATGAAGCTTAAGATGTCTATTTCCTTTTCCTAAAATATAAGACAATTCTGGTTTGTAAAACATACCCAGAAAATAGATGTGTGAGTACTATTTTGGAATGTAGAGTCATTGCTAGTTCTCGGCAACAAATTCAAATGCGCATATCTCCTTCATTTCTTATCCAAACACGACATATCATATGTTAAATTAAAGCTCTTGGTGTCTAGTTTATTGTATAAAAAATTTAAGAATACAATCGGTGATAGAACTCACCCAGATCGCGTCTTTGTTTGCGGTCTTGTTTCCAGGAACCCAGTTTTGAGCTGTTAATTTGCGGTGAATATATCTTGAGTTATACAACACCAATTGAGGCTTATAATATCTCTTTGGAAATGTTGAGAAATCTATTGAACATACTAAAATATGAGAATTAAAGTCAAGTAAATCATCTCCAGTTTAGGAAAAATCGAGAGCTGTTCAGTGAGGAGTTTAGTGAAATTGGTTGTGTTGGTTTATGAGAACCACATAGCATAAAAAATGTAATATATGACATGTATGACTCAGAATTAATTATTCCGCAAATGTGTATGAATTATAATTACAGTCTTGAATTTAGTTAAATAAAGAATTGGTCTTAAAATAAATAAAAAAATGTTGTTGAATAAAAAGTAATTTTTTACTGCATTTTAATTCAACTACTGTGGATGTAACTGCGCTTAATATCATTTGTAATGATAACTTACCGGTGTACAATAGGCTGTTATAGTTCCACCTTCCTTGTCACCCCTTCTAGAAGTTACTCTTTAATAACCTATAAAAAGCAAGCTCTAACACATTGGGATATATCTTATGGATGCTTGATAGATCATTACTCTACTCATTGAAATTGTAGCCTCCTCTCTAGCACACCAGGTCTTTCATCACACATCACCACCTTTCTCCTCTGTTGGCGTTGTGGAAACAACCACATTCGGTCTCCCATCATCAATCTTTGAGTATTGATTCTCTAAGTTGGCTTTTTCCGTCAATAGACATTCCTCTCTTGAAATTGCACATTGTTAGTCACAATTTGGAATAATTTAAATGAGTTTGTTATTTCTCATGTTGTAGCAGATAAAATTTTACACACACATAAAAGTGTAAGGGGCCTACGTGGGGTCATGTGAAGAGAAAAGAGAGAAAAATATGAGCCCCACACCCTTGTGTATGTGAAGGAGATAATTTTACCCCATAAAAGACATTAAACCCTATTTAAATTTATAAAAAAATTACAAAACACCCAACTCGAGATAGGCCGAGAAAGGCCTATGTGATTTGTTTTTGCAGAGAAAGCACATTTCCAGGCTGCAATATATTCTCATGAGCTATGTTGCACCGACACGGACACGAGACACAGCACGACATGACACTCCGTCGCGTTAATTCTACAAAATGTTAGATTTCAACACGTTAAGACATATTTTGATATTAAATAATATTTTTAATATTTTTAGTATATATTATATTTAATATTCAATAATTTAACAAAAAATGAAACTAAACTTAGTTTGATAAAACATCGATAAATTTTTCATGATATATAATGAAATTACAAATGTTATAAATGTCAGAGTGTGTCAGAGTGTCGAACACAACATGTCAGATTTTTTGAAGTGTCAGTGCAACATAGCCCATTAGTTTGTCATCTTTTAATAGCTTCAACTTCCTAAAGTGGGAGTTATATTCTCACGATAAACTAGGGTTGTTCACCAACCGATCCAAATCAATTCAAACTGCGATGACCGAACTGAAAATTGAAAAATCATAAATAAAAGAGATCACATATTTTAATTGAATTGGATTGATTTTCGGTTTGGTTGATGAAAACTAATCCAATCCAAATCGATCCAGTGCATTATGTAAGTATTATTTTTGAAATTCCACCAAAGATCATCATGAAGTAGAAGACACTTGGTAGCATTTGATAACTCTTCATTTGCTAGTGAATTTGAGAGGGACATAATTGTGAGTGAGCTTGAATAAAAATGAGGTGGATATTTATCTCATGAAGCCACTAGAGAAAGGAACTCAAATATTTGATTTCTTGAATTGGTAGAAGGTGAATTCTAGCAAATATCACACTCTTGGTCTAATAGCTAAAGATGTATTGGTTATTTCAGTATCTACAGTTGCTTCAGAATATGCATTCAGCACTGGGGGTAGAGTTCTTAACAACTACATGAGTTGTCTTACTCCAAAGATTGTTGAAGCATTAATTTGTGCACAAAATTAGTTCCGATCCACTCTTTTTTCTAACGATGTAGAGGAGCTTATAGAAGAATTTGTAAAGATGGATATAGGTAATTTACTTTATTCTACTTGCATAATTTTTTAATTTTATATTATTTTTTAATTTTTCTAATTATTAAGTTACTAACAATAATTTATTATGATTATTCTAGATATTTCTCCAAATACAGAAGTTGATGATGATTCTGGTGCGGATTCTATTTAAAAGTTGATGATGTAAGTTTCTATTTTTTAATTTCAATTATTCATGTATTTATTTTAATTTGGTTGTTGCTTGAACCCTCTCTTAATCTCTTATTTTTATGAAAATTATTGTCTTTTGAAGACCACAAAGTGAGCATTGAGCAAGCTGAAAGAGTGAAGCATGGAAGAGAAAGACGATGACTTAAGATCTTGTTGTTTTGTAGACATGAAATCTTGGATGTTATTGATAGCAAACTACCTTGTTTTAATTTTTTATTGTCTATTACTCTATTTTACCTCTTCATGAGTTTTAAGACTTGTTTTAGTTTGAAGATTTGAATTTTCCAGTGGTTTGTAACTTTGTATGACTTTATTTTGATATAGCTAGTGGTTTGTATGCCTAAAATTTTAGGTTTTTTGAAAAATTGAAAACTGATCCAATCCAAATTGAATAAAATTGGATTGGATTGGATCATATCGGATTTGAAAAAGATACAAACCGAATAGATGATTAAATGATCAAACCGCAAGGATTGGATCAAATAATTTTTGCTTCAAAACCGATCCAATCCAGACCTCGAACACCCTTACGATAATCGTCTAAAGTGAATTAAATTTATTTTTATCATAAAATCAATTAAACTTAATTAATAAATTAAAACACCATTGCTAAGAGAAAAGGATCAAATAGATACAAGATAATTCCTGAAAGAAATAGGCATAAGCAAAGGTTGAATCCTAAATTAGATAGAATAAGAAAGGTATTTTATTTGTGTGATAGGAGCACTACAGAGAAATAAAAAAAAGCCCTTCTAACGAGCTTTTTATTATGGAAAACTCGTGATTGCAGACAATTTGCTAAAATATGGTAGTTAAAACAACGAGACTTATTGAAGTAATTTTATAAGTCTACATGGTTCTTTGTTTTGATTAGAAGAATACATGGCTTTGTGATTTTATGATTCTTCTAATAAAAACAGAGAACCATGTATACTTATAAGAGTACTTCAATAAGCCTCGTTGTTTATCTTTGCTTCGTTCATTTTTATTTTTTTTATTTTGAATGAGAACACATTGAAATTGAAGCTTCCTTTTGTCACACTGACTAATTAACAGAAGGGACCCCAAGTGTGTTGGCCACGTCAATGACAAATCGGTATCTAACATCGTTGTTTGCAAGTCGCTCTAAAGCAGTGTTGACGTAATCCATGGGAACAAGCTCAATATCTGCTGTGATATTGTGCTTAGCGGCAAAATCAATCATTTCTTGGCTCTCTTTCACTCCTCCGGCTGCACTCCCAGCAATCATCTTCCTCCCTATATTTAAAAATTAATATTTTCAATCATGTATTATTCATTCTTCAAATAAAATATTTTTTTTTTTATTTATTAAGAAAAGAAGCATGAATTACAAGTAAACTTACCCAACAACAGAGGCAGAGTTGGTAACTCAAGAGGAGTCATTGACGCACCCACTAAAATCAATTTTCCACCCATCTTCAATAAATCAACTAATGGGGGCAGAGAGTGATGGCCTGAAACTGTGTCAATGATACCATCCATTGTGTCCTTGGCTTCCTAAACATCAAGCAAACAAATAGGGAAAAAAATGTCCCAATACTAATTAAGTCATGTGATTTATTTACATATATAATTTGCAAGACTACTATATAAAGGACTAATAATAATTTTTTCAATGTGCAAAGGTTATTGTTTCTTTTCTGATTATAAATTTATACCTGCAATTGTTGTTTGTCAGTACTGAGCAAGAATGAGTCCGCACCAAGCTTTTCCAATGCTTCATTTTTCTTTCCAGGAGAAGTACTTATCACGGTGACTTTCATATTGAAAGCCTTAGCAAACTTGACAGCCACATGACCAAGACCACCAAGGCCTACCACACCCAAATGCTGGCCAGGTTTACATAGTTCATGGCCCATCATAGGGCTGTACACTGTGATTCCAGCACACAGCAATGGAGCTGCACTTTCTAATGGCAACCCTTTTGGCATTATGATTGCAAAATGCTCATTAACTACTATGATATCTGAGTATCCACCATAGGTTACTGATCCATCATGTTCATGTCCATTGTAGGTCAATATCTTTTTCGGGCAGTAAACTTCAAAGCCCTGAGTACAGTGAGAACAAGAGCCACATGTACCTATAATGGGACCAATACCAGCTATGTCACCAATTCTGAATTTTGTGACTCTGCCACCAACTTTTATCACTTCCCCCACAATCTCGTGCCTGAAAATATACCAATGGGAAAGAAGTAGTGTTATTATTTAATTTACAAAATTAGATAAACTGTATAGGGGATTTTAAGTAGAGTTATTATTTAATGTATTTTGGTCATATGGCTAATTCGTTGTTATTAAATCACCATAAAGATTACTGATATGAAGGATGGGTGGAAGAAGAGTGATCAGTACCCTGGTACCATTGGATAGACACTTCTTCCCAGTTCATTCTTGATATTATGAACGTCGGCATGACAAATCCCACAGTAAAGTATCTTCAAGGTGATATCATTGTCACCATTTGTTCTGCGCGTGCTCAAGAAAAAAGTATATCAACGATGGATTATAAATGGGTTTCTATTAGAAATTAACATAAGCAATTAAGTAACGATGTCAAGCAAAACCTCATGAAACGAAAGAAGATACCTTCTGCGGAAGTGGAAGGGGGATACAGTTCCTGAGATCTCTCTAGCGGCCCATCCATAGGCAGGTACATTGAATTTTTCTTCTCCAGAGAAAATGTTTGCCATATTTTTTTTTCCTGAGAAAATTGGATGGAGAAACTGAGAGAAAGACTAATGAAATAGATGGATTGTGGTTATGTCTGACTGATTCAGATTGATTTTTGTGAACAATTGAGTGATTGAGGATATATATATATATATATATATATATAGGTACTGAGCTCGATTTACGTATTCAGGAGCTCATCGAGGACGTCATCGCTAAATCTTGTTTGATTTGTGTTTTACACAGTCTCACATCGCTGATATGTTAGAGATACGGGTTATAGGGTCAGGTTTTGAATGACCGTTGACTAAGTCTCAAATAAGTAAAATCACTAGCGTTGAACAACATCATATAAATTGAATTATAAAGGTTGTTTTAGTTTAAAAAATATATTGAGAGAAGTGGGTAATCAACTAAGAATTTTAAAATTTATTTTCAGCTTTCAAATTTCGTACATAACAAGATATCTATATATATATAGCTAGTTCTACGGGGCGTTTGCTAGAGGAATTTTTTTTTTTATTCGAAAATTTCAATTTTCAAAAATATAATTTTTAATGATAATATCTGAAAATTAAAAATTTAAAAAAATTTAATTTCACAAAAATCATGAAAAATGACTCGTACCAAACGGCCCTGAGGAGCTCATCGAGGACGTAATAACTAAGTCTTGTTTGACTTGTGTTTTACACCGATCGACATCGCTGAGGCGTGAGAGTGCAACATACATAGAAACATGGTAATGGATTTCTCAAAGTCTGAATTGATATACATGATAATGTTAAAAATTTCAGCTCTTTATGTCCATAATTAAAATGGTTATTTCCTTTTCGCTACTTTATGAAATTTATTATTAAAATTATTAGGAGAAAGATATTGTAACAACCAAGTTGTGTTACTATCATGTTATTACCTATCAATCTCACCATTAGATCGATTATGTTGATCCAACGGTTATATTTATTTTTATCTTTGTATGGTTAGGATTCCCCATATTTAAAGTGAAAGCATTAAATATGAGAAATCATAACCTACAAAGGTAGAAATAAATATAAAGTATTAAATTTAGAAAATCATGACCATACAAAGATGAAAATAAATATAATCGTTAGATCAATATAATCGATCTAACAGTGAGATTGATTGGTAGTAATATAGTAATAACACAACTTAGTTATTACAATATCCTTCCCCAAATTATTATCGTTGATATGTCAATAAGGAAATGAGATTATTCACAGAATATGCTAAAGATAAAACAAAAGATAATAACTTCTCTAAAACTTCTTGTTAAAAAATGAGTTACGGGTGAAGATTTGAATTGACCAAAATTATCCTTACGTTGACTAAGTCTCAAATAAGTTGAATTGTCTAACATTTAACAATTCATGCAAAACGAGTAATACCGATACTGACACGAGACACGTGATACGACACGACACTCTGACACGTTAATTCTAAAAAATATTAGATTTCGACACGTTAGGACACGTCTTGATAATAAATAATATTTTTAATTGATGTAGTATATATTATATTTAATATTCAATAATTTAACAAAAAAATAATCTAAACTTATAATATTCATAAATTTTGCAAAGAAACATAAGATATCCCAAATATTTATATTAAACTCAATAAAATGGTAATCGTAATTCAACAAATTTAATAGTTGGAACTAAAAACTCAACGCAACGTAACCTTTGAACTTTTTTTGAATTTCTATAACGCGTGTTGGAGTGTCAGGGAGTGTCGAAGTGTCCGAGAGTGTCGGGAAGTGTCAGACACGACACGTCAGGATTTTTGAAGTATTGGTGCTTCATAGACGAATACTATAGATCTTGTAATTGGGGACAAAAAAAGGGCGACTGAAAGAACTCAACTTGAGTGTTATAATCGATTATTTAAGAATTATTTTATTCTTTTTACATCCATTATTTTAGGGGAAAAATATTTTATTTTATTTCTATTTTTAAAAATCCATGAATTTTTTTCCTTCTAATTTTACCATTGATATTAATAAGTGAAGAAATAATTAATGGAACATTAATAATATTATTAATATTTTAATATAAGATAATTCATTCAAATGAAATTATTTTTATTTATAATCGAAAATATTTAGGAACTATTCATTGTTATGCAATTACATGAAAAAGAAAACAGATAGAAAATGTTAATTTAGAAATGCATATACAAAGTTTTTTACTTACATATAATAATGAAAGCTATTTGATGGCTTTCAAAGTCTTATTCAGTTACCCAAAATAATAAATAAAAATGAACTAGCAAGTATCCTATGCATTGGATATGTATTTTTAAATTCAGGTAAAATATTAAAAAATTAAGAGAAAAATATTTAAAATAATAAGGGAAATATGTATAATTGATTTAAGTAGAATATAATTGTTATAAATTAAAAATATTAAATATTTCAAATTAAAAATAATATAGGAAAATTAATTTAAAATTTAAAATAATTAAAATTAAAAATAATGTGTCATTCTGTAAGGAACAATACACCGGAAAATTTAATGACTTTCATGAGAATATATTCTAATCAGCTTATTTACCTATTAGTATTAGATATCAAATTGGCTTTCTTGCATAGGTATTTGGAGGAATATGTATTTATTGTTTTGTTAAAAAATTGGAAATGAGCATAATGTTTATAACAGTGTTATTAAACCCGGCCCGAGCATCGATCCGGTCTGGGTACTAGGTCACTGGTCGAAACGGTTGGTAAATGTTACTAAGTTCAAAGCCCATTGATATATAAGCCAAAAAGTGGAAGAAAAGAGCATGCGGAAACCACGTGGAAAGGTCTAGAATCTAGATTGCAATTTCTTATCCTCTTCCCTCGCCTTTCCACTCACAGCCTCTACATCTCAAGCTTTTCCATCCTATTAAACAACATGCTTGCCGCATTGTTTCTTTACTTTACTTTGCAAAATAGCGATGATTATTGCTTCTGTTGGTGTTGCTCTATGTTCTCTGTTTTCATCTTCCTCGTTCATCACTTCTCCATCATCTTTATTTCATTCCCGTCACTCTTTCGTCGTAAGAGGTAATTGCTTGTACCTACCAAGTTGCGTAAATGGCTTCAAAATCGTTCCTTCTGGGGAATGGAGTGAAGGGTATGCTCCAAAATCATGTGGGTGTTGTTTGGATTACTGAAAGTTTTGATTATTTTTTTCCATTTTTTGCAGTTGGGATTGTGCTGATGCGTCCTTCCACACGAGCAAGCTACTCGTACCGGTTCATTAGACTCGGCAGGTCACCAGGTTTCAAAAAAAATCGAACGGGTCGCATGGGCCATAAAGGGGCTAATTGCATGCCCGGTCTGATAACTAACCCTAACCTGGTCACCGGAACTCGGGTCTGTCTGAGTTTAATAACACTGGTTTATAGATTGCAAATAATTTTTTATGAACTAAAACAAGCACCACAAGCTTAGTATATTCACATTGAACCTTATTTTCTTAAAATTGGTTTTCCAAAATGAGTGTATAAAAATACATTTTTTTTGTTAAGATTGGTGATAAAAGAAAAATGCCCATTATATACTTCTATGTAGATAATCTCATATTTAATAAAAATTGTGATGTTATTCCTAAAAGGTCTATGATAAATAAATTTAAAAGGTCTATAATAAATAAATTTAAAATGTCCGAAGTATTCTATCTAACAGATTTTTCCTGTCCAGATTCGATAATAAAATAAGGGTCGCTTGGTTCTGCAATAGTGGCAGACAAAATTATCTGCCAATACAATAAATTGGAATTCACTCATTTTTTTAAAAAAAAATGTTTCTAGGATTCGTCAACAGATCTTGCCAGGCAAAATTTTTTGTGTCCGTGATAAGCAAAAATATTTCTACAACAACTACAAAAATACTTTTTTCATAAAATAATACAGTTCTATTATATAGATAAGAGGACAAAGTGTTAAATTACAGAAAGATAGGTTCTCAAATAATAATTACTGTTGTCAAAGTTACTTTTATAGTTGTAATATATATATATATATATATATATATATATATATATATATATATATGTTGGATATATGCTCTTTTGGTCACTAAAGTCCTATTAGGCTTTAGTGAAACTTGAGCCCATGAGGCTTAGGGTTGAGTTATGTCTAAGACCTAAGCGTATATATTCATAGTTTTCTCCTCTTGTGCCTCCAAGGTGAATAGATCATCAGAAACAAACCTCAAGAGGCAGACGTTCATCATCCGAACGGTTGCCCACACAACCATCTCATCCTCCTCGAGAGATAGTCTGGAAGATCTGCCACAGTCCAGCTTCAAGGAGGTTGTTCGTGCTGCGGCGCTAAGGTGAGCTGTTCGTGAAGAGGAATCCTACAAGGGAAGATTCTACACAACACCTGCGCACCGAGAGGTAATTGTGAAACAAGGATGATTCGGTAAGCATACCAATGTACTAGGTCCTAAACCGCTTCCGCATAAATCTAAGATTTCCTTCAATTGGTATCAGAGCCTTGGCTGTACATTGGTATGTGAATCTAGTTTCACTATTCATGTAATTAGTTTTGCTTCTTGAAATGTGGCACCTAGGGTTCTAGGATTATGGTATGAATCTAGCATGTGTATTTTATAATTCATTTTCATAAAAGTTTAAATTTTAATCGGTAAAAATGCTTTAATCCATGGTTAGGGTCTCTCGTGTATTTCTAGATTTGTAACAAGGAGGCTAATCCCATATGATTAGGTTTCCTCCTTGTTGGTTTTGTTTATTTTTGGAATTTCTGTGTATTTTTTCAATATTTTGTAAAAGTTCAAGATCGAGAAATCGCGAGGAAGATGCGCAGTCAGCACTGTCGGAGACTTTTCGAGGACTTACCGATCTTAGAATGGGGAGATCTATATATGGTTGGAAAGAGGACGGAAAGACGAACGAAACGGTGGGTGGCTCACCGCCATCTGAGTTTACAAGCTCCTCCACGCGCCTCCACAAGATTATGAGAGTGGCCGCCACTCTCCGGCAAAGAATGG